TAGCAGAGGGAGGAACACTCCCAAACTCATTCTACGAGGCCACCATCACCCTGATACCAAAACCAGACAAGGATGTCACAAAGAAAGAAAACTACAGGCCAGTATCACTGATGAACATAGATGCAAAAATCCTCGACAAAATCCAACAGCACATTAAAAGGATCATATACCATGATCAAGTGGGGTTTATTCCAGGAATGCAAGGATTCTTCAATATACGCAAATCAATCAATGTGATACACCATATTAACAAATTGAAGGAGAAAAACCATATGGTCATCGCAATAGATGCAGAGAAAGCTTTTGACAAAATTCAACACCGATTTATGATAAAAGCCCTCCAGAAAGTAGGCACAGAGGGAACTTTCCTCAACATAATAAAGGCCATATATGACAAACCCACAGCCAACAGCATCCTCAATGGTGAAAAACTGAAAGCATTTCCACTAAGATCAGGAACAAGACAAGGTTGCCCACTCTCACCGCTCTTATTCAACATAGTTTTGGAAGTTTTAGCCACAGCAATCAGAGAAGAAAAGGAAATGAATCCAAATCAGAAAAGAAGAAGTAAAGCTGTCACTGTTTGCAGATGACATGATACTATACATAGAGAATCCTAAAGATGCTACCAGAAAACTACTAGAGCTAATCAATGAATTTGGTAAAGTAGCGGGATACAAAATTAATGCACAGAAATCTCTGGCATTCCTATACACTAATGATGAAAAATCTGAAAGTGAAATCAAGAAAACACTCCCATTTACCATTGCAACAAAAAGAATAAAATATCTAGGAATAAACCTACCTAAGGAGACAAAAAACCTGTATGCAGAAAATTATAAGACACTGATGAAAGAAATTAAAGATGATACAAATAGATGGAGAGGTATACCATGTTCTTGGATTGGAAGAATCAACATTGTGAAAATGACTCTACTACCCAAAGCAATGTACAGATTCAATGCAATCCCTATCAAACTACCACTGGCATTTTTCACAGAACTAGAACAAAAAATTTCACAATTTGTATGGAAACACAAAAGACCCCAAAGAGCAAAACCAATCTTGAGAACGAAAAACGGAGCTGGAGGAATCAGGCTCCCTGACTTCAGACTATACTACAAAGCTACAGTAATAAAGACAGTATGGTACTGGCACAAAACCAGAAATATAGATCAATGGAACAGGATAGAAAGCCCAGAGATAAACCCACGCACATATGGTCACCTTATCTTTGATAAAGGAGGCAGGAATGTACAGTGGAGAAAAGACAGCCTCTTCAATAAGTGGTGCTGGGAAAACTGGACAGGTACATGTAAAAGTATGAGATTAGATCACTCCCTAATACCATACACAAAAATAAGCTCAAAATGGATTAAAGACCTAAATGTAAGGCCAGAAACTATCAAACTCTTAGAGGAAAACATAGGCAGGACACTCTATGACATGAATCACAGCAAGATCCTTTTTGACCCACCTCCTAGAGAAATGGAAAGAAAAACAAAAATAAACAAATGGGACCTAATGAAAGGTAAAAGCTTTTGCACAGCAAAGGAAACCATAAACAAGACCGAAAGACAACCCTCAGAATGGGAGAAAATATTTGCAAATGAAGCAGCTGATAAAGGATTCATCTCCAAAATTTACAAGCATCTCATGCAGCTCAATAACAAAAAAACAAACAACCCAATCCAAAAATGGGCAGAAGACCTAAATAGACATTTCTCCAAAGAAGGTATACAGATTGCCAACAAACACATGAAAGCATGCTCAACATCATTAATCATTAGAGAAATGCAAATCAAAACTACAATGAGATATCATCTCACACCAGTCAGAACGGCCATCATCAAAAAATCTAGAAACAATAAATGCTGGAGAGGGTGTGGAGAAAAGGGAACCCTCTTGCACTGCTGGTGGGAATGTGAATTGGTACAGCCACTGTGGAGAACAGTATGGAGGGTCCTTAAAAAACTACAAATAGAACTACTGTATGACCCAGCAATCCCACTACTGGGCATATACCCTGAGCAAACCATATTTCAAAGAGTCATGTACCAAAATGTTCATTGCAGCTCTATTTACAATAGCCAGGAGATGGAAACAACCTAAGTGTCCATCATCGGATGAATGGATAAAGAAGATGTGGCACATATATACAATGGAATATTACTCAGCCATAAAAAGAAACGAAATTGAGCTATTTGTAATGAGGTGGATGGACCTAGAGTCTGTCATACAGAGTGAAGTAAGTCAGAAGGAGAAAGACAAATACCGTATGCTAACACATATATATGGAATTTAAGGGAAAAAAAACGTCATGAAGAACCTAGGGGTAAGAAAGGAATAAAGACCTACTAGAGAATGGACTTGAGGATATGGGGAGGGGGAAGGGTAAGTTGTGACAAAGTGAGAGAGTGTCATGGACATATATACACTACCAAACGTAAAATAGGTATCTAGTGGGAAGCAGCCGCATAGCGCAGGGAGATCAGCTCGGTGCTTTGTGACCACCTAGAGGGGTGGGATAGGGAGGGGGGGAGGAAGGGAGACGCAAGAGGGAAGAGATATGGGAACATATGTATATGTATAACTGATTCACCTTGTTATAAAGCAGAAACTAACACACCATTGTAAGGCAATTATACTCCAATAAAGATGTAAAAAAAAAAAAAAGACGTAGGCAAAGAGTCATAATCTAAAAAAAAAAAAAACAAATTGTAGCTGAAATGGGACTGGTTTAAAGTTGTTTGATGAGCGTGTCATTTTTGAGCCCACCTTTTTTTTTCCTGGACTGGATGTGAGTCTCCTTTGGGAGAAGGTCAAGACTTTAAATGTGGGGAGGCCTTTGGTGACGGTGGCACCAGCAGCCCTCCCAGCACTGGGCCTGGCCATGGGGACTCCACATGTGACTCTTTGGGGCCTCGGTTAACTCAGGTCTCGCTCTCAAGGTGGCTGACAGTGGGGAGTGGGTGCCTGGATCAGCTGAGTGGAATAGAGAGCCCACTGTGGTCAAGGTAGTGGGCTTGGTCCCTGAGTGGGTCAGTTAGCTGCAGCCTGCACGCTGCCCCCTGCTGGTCGTCACAGAAATAGGTGACATTGGTCTAGAACAACAGTTCTCAAACCACGGTCCAGGATCTCTGGGGGCTCCCAACGCCTTTCGGGGGGTCCACAAAGTAAAAACTATTTTAATAATAATAATACACTTGGTCAAGTTCTCTCACAAATATACAGGTGAAAAGTTCATTGGCATGAATGCCCCATTGGAACTAATCTTTAAGAAACTACCATCTGTTGAGTTTGGGTACAGTATGAAAGAATGTCCACAGTTATCTGGGAAGGCTATTAAAATACTCCACCCTTTCCCAGCTATAGCGTGAGCTGTGAGAGTCTGGATGTCCTTCATGTACTTTAACAAATCTCCATATCACAAAAGATTGAATGAAATGTCAGATATGAAACTGACTTTTGTTTAGCCAAACATTACATAGATTTGTAAAAATGCAAAACAATACCATTATTCTCACTAACTGTTTTTGTTTTGAAAATACAGTTTTTCAATAAAGTATGTGAGCATCTCATGGGTTTATTATTTTTTGATGAACTGACAATTAAAATTTTTTCTCAGTGTTAATTTCTAATATGGTAAATATCAACAGATATGGCCCATATCCTTTGGAGTTCTCAAGAATTTTTTATAACAGTTTAATGAGATGTAGTTCACGTACCATAAAATTCAGACATTTAAAGGGTACAGTGCAGTGGTTTCAGTGAATTCACAAAGTTATGCAACCGTCACCACTATCTAATTCCAGAACATTTCCATCATCCAAAAAAGAAAACCTGAGCCCGTTAGCAGTCACTCCCATTCCTTCCTCCCCTCTACCCCCAGCCCCTGGCAACCACTCATCTACCTTCTGTCTCTATGGATCGGCCCATTCTGGACATTTTATATAAATAGAACCGTACACTATGTGGTCTTTTGTAACTGGCTTCTTTCACTTAGCGTGTTTTCAAGGTTCATCCATGTTGTGTAGCCTGTGTCAGCACTCCATTCCCTTTTATGACCAAACAATATTCCATTGTCCACGTTTTATCCATTCATCAGTTAGTGGACGTTTGAATTGTTTCCACTTTTTGGCTGTTATGAATAATGCTGCTGTGAATATTCATGTACAGTTTCATACGTGGACATGACGTTTTCTCTTGTGTTTATACTTCAGAGTCCTTTCTGGGTCTTATGGTAACTCTGTGTAACATTTAAGGAACTGCCAGACTAATTTCCAACCTCAGTGATTTTTAAGAGTGTAAAGGAGTCCTGTGTTTGAGAACCACTGGTCTGGAGGGGATTAGACCAGGGGAGTGTGGATAACTCAGTACTGCCCCTCGTCTTTGCTCTGGGATTGGGATTCCCTCAGACTCATCCCTCTCTCTTCCCCTCCTTACTCTCCCCACCAACACACATCCTTGGTGGCAAGGAGAAAGCCAGCTAAGCTAGGCTGCACAAGTTAAGCCCCCAGCAAGCTCTGGAGCAGGGTCTCCTCCCTGCAGGATTCCCAGGGGGGCCATTTTCATCGTGGTCCCCATGAAGTAAAGCAGGGGTAGTACTTGGAGGGTGCAGGGATCAAACGCCCTTGGGGCTTGCCCCGCTACGTTGAAAACTGCTGAGGTGTGCCTCTTTTCTCCTTTCCGATTCTGTCCCTTTGACATCCTGCCGGTCAAGTCCAACCTTGTCACTTAGCTGCGTGATCCACCTAGCTACCCCTCCCAGAATCACGAGTCTTTTGAAAGAGGAGCTTTGAGGGAATAGCATTTAGCTGGAGGATTGATTCTGCTGGTGAGATTCCAGACATCCTCGGGGACGGGGTGGGGATGGGGCAGGGGCCGGCAACGGACAGGGATAGGTTGGAAGTACCGGTTTTGGGTGTCTGAGGGACCCTGTCTGCCGTCTGTACCCCAGCCAATGACATGCTCTTTCTTCTTCCCTCTTCTCCCCTCAGATGTGACTCCACACCCTGGCTGGGTGTTCCAAGTCATGGCCAACACCATCTTCGGCAGCGGGAATGATCAGTGGGTTTGCCCCAATGATCGGCAGCTTGCCCTGCGAGCCAAGTGAGTACCTCTAGGGCTTGGCCGGGCCCTCCCTTCCCTCCCCCGTCCTAGTTCCCCTCCCTTCTTTGACAAGATTCAATCCCAGGCCCCCAGAAAGAGCAGTTTGGAGACAAGTGCCCGTCTAATACACACCACACTCCTGGCGCTGAGCTGGGCGCCTAACAGCCATTCACTCATTTAACTGCTGTATGGAATGTATTCCCATTTCTCAGATGAGGACAGTGAGGCTGAGGTCCTCACCCAAGTCACCCACCTTGTCAGTGGCAGGGCTGGGACTCCCCTGGGTCCATGTGAGCCCACACCTATGTTCTTTCGATCACAATAGGCTCCAGGGAGCCAGGCCACTTCCTTTACCTTCTCTGTTAAGAGTATAAATCCCCCATCACTGAACCTTCAGTCCCTGAGTCCCTGGCAGCGGGGAGCCTTTGATCTCTGGATGCCCACTTCATAGTTGAGCGCCCACTTCATAGTTGAGTGCCCACTTCATAGTTGAGTTGACAGACCAAAGGCTTGTCTAATTTATGAAGAGCTGCCCTCTGGGCTGAAACACACAACCAGCCTTGAAGCATCCCAGGTCTCTGCCATGCTCGTGTCAGGGTCTCTCTTGTTCTGGTTTGCCCCCAGCTTTCCTGTTATCTCTCAGCCTGATGACCCCTCGGCTGTAGTTAGATCAGCCCATCTCCACCCACTGCCCCCCTCCGTGGCTGGAGACCAGGGGCTCCCAGATGCCTCTCCAGCCTTCCAGTCTCTTCCTGTCCCTCCAGGGAGTTGGGGGTCCCTGGGGTCAAATAAGCCCAAGAGTGCCTCTTCATCTGTCAAGTCGTGCTGGGTACAGGAGCCAGCATTTCCCAAATGGAACCAAGTTCAAGAAATTTGCAATTAAACATTGTGAGCCTGCAGGGGACAGAGCTGAAACATCAAAAGAGGATAGAAAAATTAATCTGAAATGCCCAAGAAGAGTGGAGTCCTGCGTGATTTGCCACAGTTAATTTGTCTCGCTCACTGGGATGGCTCGGCTCTTTTAGCCCCCGTGTGGCCCCTGTGGGGGAGAGACCAGGGGTGAAACCGTCCTCTCTCCCTCTCTCCTCTGACACCAGGCGAGATGATGCGTCCTCCGTGGCTGGATGTGAGGAGCTGGCGAGAGCTGTGCTCTTGTAGGAGGGCCCGGTGTGACCCCTGGTGACCCCGCCGGCATTCCCTTTGGCTCTCCGTGACCTGGTCTTGCGCTCAGCAGCAGCCAGAAACTGTTGTAGCACCTTGTATTTATTTATTTATTTTTGGCTGCATTGGGTCTTTGTTGCTGCATGCGGGCTTTCTCTAGTTGCGGCGAGCGGGGGCTATGCTTCGTTGTGGTGTGCGGGCTTTTCATTGCAGTGGCTTCTCTTGTTGCGGAGGACGGGCTCTAGGTGTGTGGGATTCAGTAGTTGCGGTACGCGGGCTCAGTAGTTGTGGCGCACGTGCTTTGTTGCTCCGCGGCTTGTGGGATGTTCCCGGACCAGGGCTCGAGCCCGTGTCCCCTGCATTGGCAGGCGGATTCTTAACCACTGCGCCACCAGGGAAGCCCATAGCACCTTTTAGAAGAGTAAATGCTTTTATCTCCTCCCCGGGGTGTGCTGCCTTGTAATGCCAGGCTCCTTAAAGGAGAGTGTTACAGATTCCCGCAGCCAGGGACGGGTGAATGTGTACCCCTGCCCACTCCAAGGCCTGGCCTCCCTTCCTGTCCCCACCAGTCCTGCCCTGTTCCCATTCTTTGCTTTCCTCAGCTCTGTGAGGGTCACTTAAAAAAGTATTAGTCTAGGGCAAGGTATTTTTAAAAATTGAAGTATATTCGATTTACCGTATTATATTAGTTTCAGGTGTACAACATAGCGATTCAATATTTTATAGATTATACTCCACTTGAAGTTATTGTAAAAATTATTGGCTATATTCCCTGTGCTGTACACTATATCCTTATAGCTTATTTATTTGATACATAGTAGTTTGTAAGAAGGCATTTTTTTAAATTGGAGAAATAGGCAGTCTAGAAGTCTGGACCTCTCCAATGCAGCACATTACTTTATGCCTTCATGCCTTTGCACGTTCAGTGTCCTTTGCCTGAATGCCAACTCCCTGCTTCCATTGGGGGAGCTCCTATTCATCCTGCAAAACCCAGCACAAATGCTACCTCTTTGGTTAAGCTGTTCCTAATGGTCTCACCCATGATCATTATAAAAATCATCACTGCCACTTATTCAGCAACTGGGCATCTGCTATGTACAGAGCACTTTATATACCCTCCTTATTTCATCTTCCTGGCATCCCTTAAAGAGACAGATCAAGAAATCAAGGATGAGCAGCTGTCCAAGTTCTCATGCCTGGGAGGAGACAGAGCTGTAAGATGAGACCACCCATTGGACTTCAGAATCTGAGTCCTTCACCTTAACCAGCCTGGGATGGCTTTCTCTCTACTCACAGAGAAAAGACATGCTTTTTAGCTCTCCCAATTTCTACAGTGTCGGCAGTGCTTGGATGCAAGAGCTGGACTGGGTGGTGACGTGAGACCACCAGTGTCCATCCGTTTCAGGGAACCACTAGTAAGGCATCCACACCCTCATCTTCCTGCCCTGTATCCTGTGTCACAATCTCTTGCCTGCTGCCACTTCTTTAGGGGAGCCCTTCTAGAGCTGCTCCCCTGCCTGAGTCAGTTCTCCTTATTTGTACATCCTCCTCACGGCCACCCGCATGGCCTGCCCGGTGGCTCGTCCCAGCACCTAGCGAGCCTGGCATCACAGTGGACGCTCAATAAATAGGTATTGAATGAATGGCTCTCCGAATTTTTCGGTAAATAAATATTTTTGTAACTGATCGGGCATCCGTCTCCCCCAGAATATTGTAGTTCTGGAGGGCAGTGACCTTGCCACCTTGTCCGTCTCTGTGTTCCCACCACCTGGCGCAGAAAGTCTGGGAGAAGCTGGGCCCCAGGGCAGGGAGTTCGGCTCGGTCCCCTGCTGCCACCCTCACCATCCAGAAAAATAGAAAGGGTTGGAGTTCTTCCCCTCCGTCCTGGGGGTCTGGGCCGGTCCCCAGCCCCGCCTCGCCACACTGGCCGGCCCTCACTGCTCCTCCAGGGTAACCTCCTGCCCTGGATCCCTCTAGTTTTCAGAATGCTGCGTGAATATCCTTTTATCCTCAGCGCTTGTTTTTAACCTAATTACCAGTCTTTCCTGTCACATAGTAAACTCCATCTCACTTTCTTATACAACTCAGATCCGGGTGTTCCTTCTTCTCTTGGTCATCTTCTGTGCTGTTCCCTTGAAACCGCTCATGCTGTGGCCATGGCCTTCTGCGCATTCCATGCTCCTGTCTCCCCCCAACCCCCCCGAGGTGCTAAGGGGGTGCTGCCATCCTTGTGGGAGCCGGGAGCTGGCGGGTGGCAGAGGCAGCGTTTGAAGGCTGGTGTCTGAACCCCTTGCCCCTGACACACAGACTGTGCTCAGGGGACCTTTGTGGATGTGGCGGGGATGCCAGTTTGCACTGGGGTTGCACTTCTGTGTTGTTCTCTCTCAAGGCTGCAGACGGGCTGGTCTGTGCACACCTACCAGACAGAGAAGCAGAGGAAGAGCCAGTGCCTCAGCCCAGCCGAGGTGGAGGCCATCCTGCAGGTCATCCAGAGGGCCGAGCGGCTTGATGTCCTGGAACAGCAGAGAGTCGGGTAAGGGCTGCTCCCAAGATGGGGCAGGAGTGAGGCCGTGGACAGGGAAGCAGGGCATTTAGTGCCAGATCAGTGGGCTGGGCGTCTGGCGCCCTGGCTCCTAGTTCCAGCTTTTCACTGGGAGTGAGTCAGCTCTGCCTGAACGCCCCTGGCGTGCAGATTCCTAACCCAGCCTGTCCAAGCCTCAGTATACCCCTCTGTAAGATGGGGATAGCAGCTGATATGTGGGCCCCAGGCTGTGGGGAGGATGAATGAGTGCCATCAAACACGTTAAGGTCTGTTTAGCTCTGCACAGAGGAGGGTCGCTGTGGTTCAGCCAGGGGAGGGATTGACGTGGAGGCTGAACTGTGGGTTCTCCCATCAAAGACCAACAGGAGCCGCTCTCCAGCTTAATCTAAGCTCTTCCGGCCTCCGGCATCCAGAGCCGTCTCCTACATAGTCTTCAGTTTTGTTGTGGCTTTTTTTTTTTGTTTAATTACAAAAGCAACTCATACTTCCAAGACAATCTGAAAAACACAGGCAGGCACGAGGAGGAAAACATAACTGCAGGGCACTGGCAGGAATTAATTTGATTCTGGTCTCCTTGTTCTTTTTCTATTTACCTTTTTCTATTAAATAGATGATCATTTTTTAAAAGTCAGACATTGTAGAAATGCACAGTTCTAGAAAGTGAAAGCACCACTACAAAGACCAACTGCTGTCCAGTTTGTTGTCTGTGCCTCCGTAATACTGACATATTACTACCATTTCATTACAAAAAGGGTTTGTATCTGACAGACTAATTGTCTTTTGCTCTTTTCTCCCCACCACACCTGGCTGGGGCCCCTCCCTCTCTCAGGCCTAGCCCAAGGGTCCTGCAAGGCTCTGCGGGTCTCCGAGGTGCCTGTGCTGATGACGGATGGGCCAGCACCACATCCCTCGGGCTCCCTCAGGAGGGCGTGCTGGGAGCTAGTGAGGGGTGTCCCCCGTGGGCTCCCCGCAGCTGTGGGAAGCATTTGCACCCCGCCCCCATCCATCTGGGCTGTCATCTTTGCCTTCCCTGTGCCGCTCACATCGTCTGGCCCTGGCTGTGAGCGCTGGGTTTGGCTGGGGCAGGAATGGCCCAGGAGACAGTTAATCATCTCAGAGGGAGGAGGTGCATCCTGTGTGTTTCCATGAGTGGGAGTCACAGGGCTGTACGGAGAGGGGGTCCCCCAAAAACAAGTGGGTCAGGCCAGGGCCGAACTCGGCTTTGCTCCCGGAACCCTGCAGGTCCCTGGAAGAGGGATGGCGATTCCTGGGGAAGTCAGGAGTGCCAGCTGGAGGGCAGGTGGGCAGAGGCAGCCTCGGCGCCCAGTCCGCCCTCCGTCGGCCCCCAGGCAGGGCCTGATCACCCCAGGGGAGAGGGTGGAGTTGCCATGAGACTTGGGGTGGCCTGAGTGTGGCCCTGGCTCTACCTCTGAGGAGCTGTGCAATGCTGGCAAGTGACTTCACGTCTCGGAGCCTCAATCTTCTCACCTTTAAAGTGGGGGGGAAACAGCATCCTCTGTGCTGGGCGGTTGTGAGAGTTACAGGGCATAACGTACCCACACCCCGTCTTCCATGCATTCAAGAATTTTCACTGGGAATCCACTGGGCACTGGAGACACAGCGGCCAATGAAACAGAAGCAGAAGTGGCCGCGTGTTGTGGGCGTGGCAGGGTCGTATGACAGGTTGTCATGCAACAGGGTCACGGTGGGCTGGGGGACCGTGGGACCCAAGGAGAGGCACCTATCCTGGGCTCTGCGGGGTTCAAAGAGGACCTCTTTCTCTTTCTCCCTCTAGCTTCTCCGTCCACCCAGGTGCTTAAGCCAAAAGTCTCTACTCCATCCTGGGTCTTTCTCTTACCTCTCCTCCCCCAAATCCATCTGTGCCGACTCTGAAATACAGCCCGTCCTGCTCTCCGTCCTCCTTCCCCAGCCCTGCCACCTCCTGCCGGCTTCCTCACCGGACTCCCCCTGTAATCCCAGCTTCCCACAGCAGCTGGAGGGAGCTTTTAGCTTTTAGGGAGCTTAGATCAGATCACTCCTCTACTTAAAACTCTTCAGGGGGCTCGCGTTGATCTTAGAAAACAATCCAAACTTCCAAAACCAATCCAATCGGGCTTCCCTGGTGGCGCAGTGGTTGAGAGTCTGCCTGCCGATGCAGGGGACACGGGTTCGTGCCCCAGTCTGGGAAGATCCCACATGCCGCGGAGCGGCTGCGCCTGTGAGCCATGGCCGCTGAGCCTGAGCATCCGGAGCCTGTGCTCTGCAACAGGAGAGGCCACAACAGTGAGAGGCCCGCGTACCGCAAAAAAAACCGCAAAAAAAAAAAAAAAAAAAAAAATCCAACCTACAAACCCCGTGTAATCTGGCCCCTCCTCGCCCCTCCAGCCTCCGTTACCCCAGGCAGTCTAGCCCCCCTGGCCTTCTTACCATTCTAATGCCCTAGGGCCTTGCTCTTTGTACTTGCTGTTCCCTCTGCCTGGGATGCTCCCCCAGCTGTTCACATGTTTGGTCCTTGTCGTCCTTTACCTCTCAGTTCAAATGTCCTCAGAGAGGCCTTCACTGATCACCATCTAACATGCCCTGCTCCCTCCCAGCCCCACTTATTTTATTTCATAACACTCCCCCCTCTGAAGTCAGTTTGCTTGTTTATGGACTTTCTCCCTTTATTGAACATAAATTCCATAAGAACAGGGACCGTGTCCATCTCTGGCTTGTTTGCTACAATATTCCCCGTGTCTGGCATGTTGTAGGTGCCCAGTTAATGGTTGGTGAGTGAGTGAATGATTAGGAGTTAGCCAGGGGAAGGGATGGGGCAGGGAACAGTACCCCAGGTGAGGGAACCATCCCCCAGGAAGTGGTACAGTACTGGGGCCCCGTGGCAGCCGCGCCTGGGCAGGGGTCTGGTTGGAGGCAGGAAGCACATGCCGTCTGACTCTGTCCTGTGCTGCAGGCGGCTGGTGGAGCGGCTGGAGACCATGAGGCGCAACGTGGTGGGGAATGGCCTCTCCCAGTGTCTGCTCTGTGGGGAGGTGCTGGGCTTCCTGGGCAGCTCATCGGTGTTCTGCAAAGACTGCAGGAAGGTAAGGCCCTGCTCTGGCTTCCCAGCCTGGACCAGCCCTGTTACTCTGTGGCTTTGCAGCCTGGCTCCCAGGAGTGTGTGTGTGTGTGTGTGTGTGTGTGTGTGTGTGTGTGTGTATACATTCGTGCATACATGTGTGCACACATGGTATCCTATGCTTCTTGGCAAGAAGGATTGGGGCCTGAAGGTCAAATGGCCAGGCTTCTAGTGCCAGCTCTGGGGAGTGGACCTCGGGGTCTCACAGGCCTGGGTGTGAGTTCAGCTCTTCCACTAGCTGTATGATTCAGAAAACTTACTTACTATGTCAAGCCTCACCTTCCTCATCTGTAAAATAGGGATAATGATAATATGTACCTTAGAGAGTTGTGAGGATTAGATATTATATGCAAACCTTGTTTGGCATATAAGTATTCAGGATATGTTACTAGTTGTCATTAAATAAATACAATTTTCCTCAGGGCCAAACAGTTTGCTAAGATTATACTTCCTATGCTATTGGTCTGCTCTCTTGATCCCTGGCCACTCAAATGAGAATGACCTTTGCAGCAAGGCCAAGTGGATTTTCTCCTTTTCTTATACTCCACTGATTGTTCTAAATTATGCCACATATTAATATTGAGTCCAAGACTTCTTAAAATAACTTTTTGTTTTTCCTGGAGTTTCTAATTGCCTTTCTTTTCTCATTGACCAAAGAATAACGTGCCTTCCAGTCCTCAAGGTTATTTAGCATCTGAACTTTACTCTCTATTGTGTGAAGCCTCCTTTTTCTTTCCCTGCCAGAATCTCTTCTGGACTCTTATTCCTGCTCTAGCCTACAGTAGTTACTGCATAGCTGTCATCATGGGACTTCCCTTTACTGCCCTCCTAGGTTAGAAGCACTGTTCCCAAGACACCATGTCTTTTTCTTTGTTTGTTTTTCACTCTAGTTTTACTAGAACCCATTCTCAAGTAACTTCCATGTGCTAGTCATTATTTTAAGCCTGGAGTTATTTTGGTGAACAAGGCAGAGAAAGAACTTTCTCTCTTGAGGGAACCAAAAAAAAGTAATGTAATAGATAATAAGTAATAGTAAATAGTAAAGTAAATCAATAAAGTAAATAGTAAAGTAATAGATAAGAAGATTTCAGGAAGAAATAAATTCTGGAAAGAATTAACAGGGAATAGAAGACTGAGGGTGGGGTGGGGCTTTAAGAGTTGAGAGGACTGTAAATTATGGGAACGTCAAAGAAGTAAACGTGGACTTGGCAGCAGAGGCCATTGGCAGCCTTGACAAGGGCATTTTCAGTGATGTTCAAAGTCTGGATGAGAGAACCAAGGTGCAAAGAAGTTAATGTACCAAATGAATAGGTGGGAAAGCCAGGATTTCAGCTAAGGTCCCTTTTTCCCTGTTCTGTCGCATGTGGTGAACTGGGCTGAGGAATGTAGATTAACTGGTGAGGGATCCCAAGAACAGTGGAGGTGTGGGAGGGGCCTGAGGGTCAGGGAGGGGGTGGGCACTTTGGTGCCGCTCCTCCACAAGCCTCCATAGGCCGAGACTAGATAGATACCAACGAGGTACTGGGCACAGGGACTCAGGAATGTCTTGCTCCCAGCACCTGGGCAGGTGGGGTTCTAGTATGTGACTTCTGCCTGGGAGAACGAGGCCCAACAGCCTGTTTCCTCCTTCTGCCCCTCAACTCCATGACTACTATAAATGTCCGGGTTTGCGGGACCATGAAGAGCCTGTCAGAGCCTTGTCTCCTTTCCCTGGAAAAGTTTGGGGCCTCTGCCGCAGAGGCAGGCTGCTGCCCCTGGTTGCTGAAGGGTTAATGCTCGCTGCTCCTTGCAGAGCCGTTTCCTAGGCAACAGTGGGAGTCCCAGGGGAGAACCTCAGTGGATGTGGGGGTGGGGGAATGCTCTTCCAGATACTCTCACCACCCCCACCCCATGGCTTTTCGGGAGGACATTTCCATTTGAAAATGTTCTTATTTCACAGCAGGCTGAAGACTTGGTTCTGGCTTGGATGGTGAGATAAGGAGCCCTCTGAGTTTCTGAGGGGACTTGTTCTTGGGTGAGAGTGGGAGGAGAGCGTGCCAATTAGGGCTACAGCTGAACGATGGGCATTTGGGGGGGTTATCTTCATCCATCCTTGAGAAGACTGTGTCATTCATTCAGTCATTCATTTACTCATTATGCAAATAGCAGAGGGTCTACTGTGTGCAGGCCCTGTTCTAGATTCTGGCGATACCATGAACAAGATAAAGTCCTTGCTCTCATGGAGACTGTTTTCTAGGGGTAGAAGAAGACAGACAATAAACAAATATAAAATAACGGTTAAGTAGGCCTAGGGCTCTGTAGTGAATTAAAACAAGGTGCTCAAGTTGAGTCTCTATGAGCTCAGACCTGACCACAAGCAGGAGCCAGCCCCGGGAAGATCCAGGTGGAGGAGCGTTGCAGGCAGAGGGACCAGCAGGCAGCAAGGCCCTGAGGCAGAAATGAGCTGGGCATGTTCAAGGAACTAATGAAGGCTTCTGGGGCAGAGGGAGCGAGCGGTGGGCATAGCCAATCACACAGAGCTTTGTAAGTCAAGGTCAGGAGTTGAGATGTGGTTCTAAGTTTCATGGGATGTCAGTGGAGCATTTTAAGCAGGGATGTAATGTGATCTGGTTTGTGTTTTTAAGAGGTGAGCCTAGCTGCTGTCTGGCAGGTGCGTGACAGGGGGACATAGAAGGAAAGCAGGAGGTGAGTTAGGTGGCGATGGCTGTCATTGGAAGGTGATGAGGTTGGGGACAAGGCAACATAGGGACAAAGGCCATACGCTAAGGGAATCAATCTCTTCAATGTATTCTAAGCAAATAGGGAGGGCTTGGGGGGTGATTGAGGGCCTTAGGAAGGAAAGCGGGTCCTAGATTCCAAATGGGCCAGGGCTAGAGGTCACTTGATCCTGCACGGTGAGGGGACGGAGGTCCTCCTGGGTTGCCAGTAAGTGCTGTTCCCATGCAGAGAGACCTGGGTTGTGCTCCAGCTTGGGCACAGTGCAGTGACCTTGTATGAGCCACTTAACCTCTCTGGGCCTCTGTTTCTTCATCTGTAAACGGGGGAATAGAACTACATCATTATTGGGTGGGTGAGAGGAGTAGATGAGCTAATGCAGGGAAGCCCTTAGTGTCGGGTCCATTGCAAACACTCAGTAAAGGATTCCTGTTATCATTATTATCACTATTATTATTAATTCACTTTGAGGTCCTAGCTGTTCAGACTGCCCAGGTGTTACAAAAATAGGACCAACCTTACATACATCTCAGAAGAGGTTGAGTGATATCCCATGGATCAGTCAGCTCAGGCTGCCATAACAAAAGACCACAGACTGGGTGGCTTCAACGACAGAAATTGATTTCTCATAGTTCTGGAGGCTGGGAAGTCCAAGATCAGTGTGCTGGCCAATCTGGTTTCTGATGAGGACTCTCCTCCTAGCTTGCAGACGGCCACCTTCTCACTGTGTCCACACATGGTGGAGAGAGAGCTCTGGTCTCTCTCCTACTTCAGATAAGGACACTAGTCCGTTTGGATCAGGGCCCCTCCCTTATGACCTCATTTAACCTTAATTACCTACTAAAGACCCTGTATCCTAATACAGTCACATTGGGGATTAGGGCTTCAACACAAGAATTCTGATGGGACACAATTCAGCCGATAGCAACCTATGTTCTCCTTTTTACAATTCATGTTTTCCCTCCTTCCTTCTTCCTTCCTTCCTTCCTTCCTTCCTTCCTTCCTTCCTTCTTTCCATCCTCTCCCCCTCCCTCCCTCCCTCTCTCTCTCTCTCTCTCTCTCTCTCTCTCTCTCTCTCTCTCTCTCTCTATCTCTATCTCTATCTCTATCTCTATCTCTATCTCTATCTCCCTCCCCTCCCCACCCCTCTCCCCGGGATCTTACTTCCCCCACCAGGGATTGAACCTGGACCCCGGCAGTGAAACTGCTGAGTCCTAACCACTGGACGGCCATGGCATTCCCTACAATTCATGTTTTCTTGAACTGAAAGTTGGAGTTCCCACAGTTAGTCCCAAATTTTTTGTAATTTATATAAAAGCCTCTGGAAGCCTTTGTAGCTCTCCAGGATTGGATGTCTTAAGCAGGGAAACCAAACTTAATTTCTGTGCAAGTTCCTCAGGTGAACCTAACACTCAGTCACTTATTCAGCCTGTTCTGGGTTAATTCTGGGTTAGGGGACTCCAAAAGGAGAAGGGTCCAGAACGGCCACTTCCCTCTGGTCCTCATGGTCAAGGTGGGAAGACAGTACCCTCTAGAGTGATGCTGACTATGGCTGGGACCAAGGTTTCCAGGACTGAGAACAATCAGGAGGGCTGCCTGGAGGAGCTGGCTCCTGAAAGTTGGTTAGGCTTCTGAGAGGCTGAAAGCAGAGCCAAGGGCATTCCAGGGATGGGAGAACAGCACAGCATAGGCGTACAGCTGGAAATGGACTGGGCAAGTGCTTGACTATGAGGATTCAGGCCCAGAAGACAGGGAGGACACCCTGGGCCACTCTGCCAGGTGGTGGTCGCTTAGGAGCCAAGTCTCTGGAGAATCAGGAGGGAGGCCCAGACTTAACCTCACAGCCCCCTGCAAAACTTTAGCCCTTGTACAGGGGCTCTCTGGTGTCTGGGAGGGATAGACAATGTTATCTATTCACTCTTTCAACAAATATGTGTTGTCATATAAATATGACAATATACTGATGCAGTCATTGGAGATACACACAGATGCCTGCCCTCTAGGCAGTGGGTGTTAAATGATTATGGGTAATTGATTACAGTTGGGTTTGGGGTTACAGAGGCAGCCCTCTGGGGCTAAGAGAGATCTAACAAGGTAGTGACCAAATTGGGGGTATCAGGAGCCCTCCACTCTGGGCTCACCAATTTCCAGGGTGCCTCCCTATTTATTTCTATCGCTCCTCTCCACCTCCCCACCTTTTGCAATGGCTATAGCACTGGCTCCCAGGAAGTGCGTGGGCAAGGGCAGGCT